TGCACACGCAACATCACGCACAAAGAATCGGAACGAGAAAAACAAGAAGTAGAGCTCTCTGTGTTTTCCTGTAAATCAGTCTCTCATTTTCTCTCTGCAGACACAGTTAAGGTTTTTTTTGGAGGGGTTTGGAGGCGGGGTCGGGTTTCCTTGCTGCCGTGCCCCGGGACAGGCGAGGGGTTGGTCGGGTCTAATCTGAGCTCTGATCCCCTCTCCTCTCCCTGGAGACCCCCGCACTAACCTCATGTAATGACCCCTGATTAGGAAGGCTGCCTCCGACACGGCACAAAGAGGGGCTTTCTGTGGGGGCCCAACATACACACACACACCTGAACGCTGCCTTGGATGGATACACACACAGTAAAGTTGCTTAGCCTCATAGGTTTAAGCTGAAGTGCCTCTGAGCAAGACTCAAAACTCAAACTCGTGACCTCTGGCCTCCATAATAGGCAAAAAAAAGAGATCCTTCCTAAGTAGATCAGCCAATGTGGTGTCAAACTGTCGAGTTCAGAGAGAATTTTGACCTGAATGCAAAGAGGAAAATCCTTGTCTTTTAAGCCTTTTCTCTGATAGAAATAAATCATGAAGAAAAAACGATTAAAACAACAAAATTCCACAATTTCTTTAACTTATTTAGGGAAAGAACGGAGAATTATCATGGCCTCGACTCCAGTCAAGCTGTCCCCGAATGTTCGACTGTTGTATCTAACCTGATTTCAACTTGTCTACTGTCCTGTTTATGATCGGGAAACCCGCAGTTCTGGATCATTTTTAGCACGACTGATGTGTTTAGATCTCTTAATGGTCCTTCCCCTTTGCCTTTTTGAGTCTCCTCAAGTTGATGAAGTCATGTGGAGCATAGTGATGAGGGAAAAAAATGGCACACAAGCATCTCAGTCCTGGCTGTGTTTTTTCTGGGGTGAGACAGTATTTTTTTCTCTGCAGTGTCAGTCTCATTCTGAGGGATGAGCTAAAAACTTCAGTTGTGGCCGCAGACCCGGTTCTGGTCACCGGTTATGCTCTTCTACATGAAACAGCAGAGGATGTTTGCTCTCTCTGCACAAGTTTCGAGCCTGTGGTAAGATCACAGAGCACAAGTGGTCGAAACTTTCAGGACTTTCAGGGAGATCTAAAAGCAGCCTGGAAGCTGTCATGACATGCCCTAGAAAATCAGCCAAGTTCAGGTAAGACACTTGATTTTTGTGGGCCTCCACGCCACCTCATACATCGTCTTAGTTTCAGTGCCGACCAATCCCATCATGGATCAGTACCCACCACTGCTGCCAAGTTAGTCACTTTCTAGCTAGATAAATATATATGGATATATAAGCACTTAAGTCAGCTACCCCTGAAAAAAAAACAACATTTTATGGGATTGTTTAAACCTTGTTGCAGATACAGAACTAGAAAGACTTCAAGAGAGCTATTAGTGAACATGTAGGTTTAAAGAGCCATCAGAAAACCAATAGACTGAGCTTGTGGCAGGTGCAGAGAGGCGGGTGGCTTGCAGGGTCCTTCAAATATACGCGTGTTTACACTTTGACTTTCAGCTTGCTGTGGTATTTACAGACACATAACTTCAATATAAGGAGGGCCGACAGAATGAATGATATTATAAGGAGAGCCAGAGGTCAGCTGGCCATTTTTCAGCAGCTTAAACAAGTGTGTGTGTGTGTGTGTGTGTGTGCGTGCGCGCGCGCGTGTGCGGGCTCCCTCCTGTTTTTCTCGATAATAAAGCTAAGTCAACAGAAAGAAGCGAAACACCATCAGCTGAGAGAAAAATAAGAAACTGGTTTACTGTCTGACCAGCTGGACCAGAGTGTCTCCTCTGTGTGTGTGTCTGTGGTTTTCATATGGAAAAACAATCTGCACACAGCACATTAGCCTTTTTGGTGGATCAACAGAGCCAGCCAGTTTCCATATAACCCCGTGTTAAGCTAGGAAACTAACTCCATCAAAGAACCACAGTAGACTGGTTTTCCACTACGGGCCAATCAGAGCCTAACAAGGGCAGCCAGGACTTACACATTATCCTTGACTGAAAACAACATCGAACATACCGTTTGCATTTCTGCTGCAAACTGAAGGACTTTTTTATTTTGGTGGGTTTTAGTTGTGTAGGCTAAGATCGTTGCTCCTGCTGGATAAACAACTAGATGGGTTTGAGCGTAGTGTTTGTTCTCATGTAGACTTTCCAATGAAATATGTCTTTTTCAGATCTGTGCAAACACTACAGGCACGGCAAGACTGCTTAAACTCCACGAAGGTATTCGATTAGGTTAATGACTCTTGGCCAGAATCAAAAATCAGAGTTTGGAGATATATCTCTTTTATTTCCAGCTTAAAAAAACTGAAGTTCAATAATTAGAGGTTGTAACTCTGTTTTTGGTCTCCACTGTCACATCAGGGAAGATGCTACACAATTTGTTAGCTTTGACCACTCCCCCCCTTTTTTTTGGACACATTGCATTCATCAATGTTTTAAATTCAATTAAATTTGGTTCTATTTATATTGAACAAATCATAACAACAGTTTCCTCAAGGTGCTTCATATTGTAAAGTAAAGACCGCACAGTAATACAGACAAAATCCCAACAATCAGGTAACGCCCCTATAAGCAAGAACTTGGTGACAGTGGGAAGGAGGCTGTC